GGGGGTGGGGGGGAGGAGGTGCCAGGGCAGCAGGAAGGTGCGCCCCAAACCCCTCGTGGGAGCCAGCTGAGAGAGGGCAACAGGTGTTCACAAATAATTGCGTGTTTCTGAAAATGTGTCGCGTTTCTGCGCTGTTAGTAATGTCAAAATAACAGGGATTCTGCATTGACATCAAGCAGGCTGTTTTTTCCATTACCGCCTTTGAATGCCAGCTATGGTCTGGTCTCTCTGTTGCTCAGTACACTAATTGCAGATGGGTTAATGTGGCACAAAGAGTTGTCTCTGTCAGACACCAGTGACAGATCTCACTGCACACATGAAGGTCTTTTCCAACCTAAATGGTTCTAACAATACCCTCAAAACCTCTCTGGGAGAACTAAGGAACTCGGGCAGGCTCAGGTGCACCAGTCACTGCAGCTGTTACCCTGGCTACGGGCAGTCCTGTGACTATCCCAGCCGAGAAATGTGTGACAATTTTCCTGATGAGGTTACTCAGACGGTAAATCCCCAGTGATGGAGGCTTCCCAGTACAGCTTCGGTAGTCTGTTCACTACAGCTGTGCTGGGGCGATTGGCCTTGCTGTGCTGGTGGCCAGCAGACACTTGAGAGGGTGCCTGGCTTCTGTGGTCAGAGCAGCTGAGAAGCCAGGACACACTGCTGCTGCCAGCACCTGGGATCTCTCTTCTTCCACGCAACAAAATAACCAGCAATTACGCACTGCTGAGTCTCTCCTGACTTTTGTCAAAGAATGGATTACAAAATCACATCTTCTTGAATTTTACCAAACACAATTTGATAGGCTGAGCATTAATGCAGTCAAATATAACACCAAATCCTCGATAAAATGACTGATGGAAAGATAAAGTATAATAAAATGCTGTAATAATTATACAAACCCATAAATTGTTCTTGTTATCCTGGTGATGATTTTTGAGTATCATTTGCGTACTCAAAATCATTGAAATAATTTGGATTTCAAGTTCAGGCAGTTAAACTTTAAAGCAAAATTTCATTAACTAGCAAGATGAAGTTACAGCATATCAACTGGATTCTTAGTTGTCTACTTTAAAAAAACCAACTGACACTAAAATGCTTACACATTCAGTGTTACATCAGCTGCTTCCAAGTTTGATGATAAGACATAATGGGTGATCCTTTAACTTACTACTCACATTACCTGAGATCAAAGGACTATTGTAAAGCTCCTCTCAAAGACACAAGTCATTCTTGCTATGAATCAAGGAAAGAGATCTACCACATTTTAGTAGTGAAGGTACAAATAAACTTTGGAAGGACAGCATGGTAGTTTTTCCCTTTGTACATCAAATCAACAATTCTGAATGAACAAGATGAAGAAGCAATTAGGAGCCAAAAAAAAAAAAAAAAAAAAAAAAAAAAAAGCTAGTCAAAGGAATGTTACTCTTTTTGAAGGAAAAATCTGTGACCTACATATCAAATGTCAAGAAAATGGGTATGGGTGTATTATGTGGTTAGATGTGGATAGAAACAGATGGCCTCAAAGTCTGTGTAACTTGAACATTTACTTTTCAAGTTATGGTTCAGGGATGATATATACCTGTAGGAGAGCTGTTCAAATTACTAGGACACAGAATGTCACAGACTAGAGTGTGAGCAGCAACCAAACAACAGTTACCATAAACTAAGTCGGATTAAGGTAAGACAAGATGAGAGTGTTGCACCACTGCACTATCATGTTTTAAGTAGATTTAATTTGTAAAGTACCATATAGACCTCATGTAGTGTGTAAAGCTGAATTACATAGTATTGCAGTGTGCAGTTTCCGATCATAGAAAGGGATCTATTATACCAGCATTGTGACAAAGTTCTCTGAAATTAATAAAGTCTGTGTGTACGGGGAGTGAAGCATTGCACAGTTTGTGAACTTTGTTCCCATTGTTAAATATTGCCATTGGTGTCCATGTAATACTGCAGGGCAAGCTGATGTCTGCATAATAATTGTTTCTTAGAGTTAGACTTTTGAAGCATTACATTAGCCTAAAAGACTTTTTCTACAATGTAATGTTATACATTTCCCAGGTGGGATGTATAGACTATCTTAAACATGAAATTGAATAATGGTCTATATTATGTGTTATAAAGCAATATTATATGTAACCAGGATTCATAGGACAAAAAAAGCAGAGGCAGGAGATTTATGTTCATGGGTTTGTTGCTTCAGGCAAGGCCAACCCAAGTGATGCATTTGTTTTCACTATCATAAAATGTTATCACTAACCCATTTGTTTGCTGTAGGTAAGGCCAGCTTTCCCACTAGACTGCTATAGCAGCACTTTATTCCAGATCATCAACTGTTTGCATGTCAAAATGTTTCAAACAAATCTGAATCAACAGAGTAACTGTAATGGATCATCTCTTTGCTCGGGTGGCCACTGCATTTTTTTGATCCATTCTTAGTAATTGTAAGATTGGATGTATTGTGTTTTCCAAAGCACAATCTAAGTAGAATAGCAGAGATGGGAAACTACATCTAGTAAGCACTGGAAAGTTTCCTTAACTGTATGTCAGTTCATTTGAGACTATTCAGTAAATATTTATAGATTGAGGAAGGCAGAAAACAAAGGGCCATTTTTAGCAATGTAATTTGAAAAGAAAGGTAGTTGCTTCCTGAAGATGTTTTGGGAAGATGTCCTTCAGGTGAGTATTTCCAGTCTGTGGAATGCCAAGTCATTAGGCATTGTGTGGGAGTCAACCCATCACTCCAATGACTGACAGGTATCCTCTTGTCTCGCACTTGTGTCTTCCTGTCTAAAGGCACCCCACTGGCAGGAAGCACTTCTGTAACTAATCAGCCCAGATTCTTGAAATATCTGCAAAAGTAGAAATAAAACTCCAAGTAAATGGCAAGCATGTTCTATTGGTTTATGTAGAAGTGAAATGAAGTACTGTATCTGATTTTATGTTTGCTGCTTCACATCTGGGGAAAAGTTTGCTTATGCAACACCCTGTGTGTTTTTTCCAGTTTTAGGATATTGATCTAACAAAAGGGTTTTTTTTTTCTCTCTGCTGTTTTAGCTACTTGTAGCTTTGTTTTCAGCTCAGTAATTTATTGCTTAGCCTTTCATTTTGAGAGAATATATAACTTATTTTTGTCAAGGTCATACAGTCAACAGTGAAAGGCATACTGGGCGCTTATATCTCAGAGAACATGGAGGTACCTGGGACAGCCTTGAAATTCTTGCCAGCCAACTTACAGCTCCTGAAAATCTGCAGTGTTGTTCCCCTGAGCTGCAAAAGTTGTTAACATCATCCTATGTTAAACTGGTGGAAGGAAGTGTCGTTTGGCAAGCACCAGTGACAACCTTCTGCAAGAAAAACGAAGTGGAAATGGCTCTGTAAAGATGCATGAGACTACAAGCAAAATCCTAGCTGCACTTAATGGGAATTTTGCTATAAATTCTACTGATAGATTAAATACTCATACTATTCATAACAGCATACAACATAATAAAATGCATAGCACCGCCACTTTGAGTTGTGTATTGGTTTATTTATCTTTTGGACTTGGATTAAGAGAACAGAGAGTACATAAAAACAACTGAGAGTATAGCAAACTGTTTCCTATAAAGCTATAGTGAGGTAAATGAGCATTCTTCTATTTAAAGAGATCCTCTTCCTGTAGAACTTGAACAGTTAATTGCAATATAGGTGCTATTTCTATCAGAGGAAAGCCATGGGATTTGGTTTTTTTTTATCTATAATAATAATAATAATAATAATAATAATAATAATAATAATTGCAGTAACAAAAACAATTTGTCAGAGTATTTTTTTCTCTTTACAATAGTGAAGCTCCCAGTTTCAAACATAATTATTCTTGCAAATGTCGAGAAGCAGTGACACAAGAAAAAGGTAGAGATTTGGATTTTAATGATGCATGTGTTTCTATAGAATTTGTGTTCCCACCTATTTAATAGTATAAATATTTAATAGAATAGTGCTGGAGGCTTAGAGGGTTCCAAGTGTTCTTCCAGATACTTGCACAAAGTTGAAAATCTGGAGGTAGACTGCACATAAATTTGGTATTACAAACATAGTAACATGTTCACCTTGAAGACTAATTTTCCTTAGTGCTGGTACTTTAAATTATCTTCTAAAATCCAGTCTGCTTTAAATAAGTGATTCTGAGTTCTTTTCTTAAAACTAGTTTAAATGAAGACTTCCATATGGAAGTCAGTAATATTTCTAGCCAGGTACTAGCTTTGTTGGTTTTGATAGCTAATAGAATGGGAACAAAATGAATTATGTAATCTAAAATTACATTTTCTTTCGGACTAGGGAACCTAGCAAGAAGTGCATTGGAAATCAGAAGTTGTTTTTTCCCAGAGCCACTTAAAGCCTGCATTCATCTATCTATGGTTAGAAGTGAAAAGTAATGTATTCCTTCAATTTGCAAGGAAATTAAAATGTAAATGGTGCTTTTTAATGACATGTGGGACCAAGCTAGAGCTTTCTGTGTCCACTTGGAATAGTCTTCTTTTAATGGGGAAAACATAAAAGTAAAAACCGTTAGAGCTGATGGGGGTAAAGAGAAGAATAAAAAGAGCTGTAATAACCTTTTGTATATCAGCTAGGGAGCACTTCACTGGGTATGGGGAGACCATTAAGAGCTGCTAGTATATTTTCAACTGCTTCCTCCGTTATCATGTAGGTGGCCTTGTCTGTTTTAATGCCGAGGTGAGGTGTTATAATGACATTCTTTAATTTTAACAATGTATGATCTCTGGAAGAAATGAAAAAAGAGATAGTTAAGTTACCTACTGTTCTTCGTCCAAATAAAGAGGAGTCTTACTTTGGCTTTTGCACTGTATTTAAATATAAAGTTAATTTAATACAGCTTTACAAGTCCCACTTGCATCCACAGAAGCTGATCACCTGTGTTCAAGTAATTTCGGACGTTAAAAGGACAAGAGTTTATACTGTGCTCTTTTGTCCAGAAACAGAGTTTCACCATTAGGCAGCAATTTGAACTATGTCAGAAGACAGGATTAAGCCCTCCTGACACATTAACCCTAGGAGACCTATGTAGTGGTCTGAGCTGTAGTTATGCAACTCAGGTAATGGACAATGATGTCCTGGCACACAGACGTAACAATACCACACTCCCCCCAACCCAAAACGTAGCCAGCCCAGTCAGCTCCATAAGGCATCATTCTGATAGAGGTGTCTTTTTACTGAAGTTAAGTAGCTTCTGTGCCCAAGAGATCTGCAGTACTTCAGCCTTATACTGGGGAAACAAGCCTGTGGGGAGGGAAACCTCGGGGCAATGCAATAGATGTAAGAGGGGATGATTCAAGCAGCTTCCACCTATTCACGGCAAGTTGCACCTTCAGATAAAGCAATTTGTAAGTGAAGCACTGCTGCAGCTTCATATGGTGATTCTGTGGAGGGGGTTTAGTGCTCCCCACCACACACAAACCCCTCCTGCTGTTTCCTGGCGCCCAGGCTTCCCTTTGGCTTGTTGTTAGCAGACCCAACATCTGGGCTGCATCTTATTTGTATTCATGGCACTTTTACACAAACCTCTACGCCAGAGGCGGTGGTGAGCTGCCCTCTGACAGATCGCCCCCTGTCTGCTGCAGGGATGCATCCTGCACCTGGTGGGGCTCTGAATATGGTTTCTGAGAAATAAGCAAGAGATGGCAACCTGGGCAGTGGTTCCGGGTAGGTGACATCCAAAGCTGCGGCCCTGATAACACCAGTCTGCAGAGCTGTCACCAGCGCCTCTTGGTCAACTACTGCACCTGGTTTGGAATAAGAGTGTCTCTGAGTGCCATTTGCAGGTAATGATCTGAGAGTGAAGAGAATAGAAGGGAAGAAAGGAAATTTCACCGTGCCTGATCAGTCCTCCACATATGCACCAGCTGTGCGGTGGATGCAGCATGCTGCTGCATGTAACACAACAGGAGCTGGCTCATACTTTGTGGTCAGAACAGTCAATGGTTCTAGATGGTACCTCGGCTGATGTTAATGAGAGTAGCTGTGGGTTTCATCAGCTCCATCTCTCTTTTCCCAATCAGCTTGTGTGTCTGAGGTGTCAGGCTCACCACCACCATCACAAAATCTGCCTGCTGGAGCAAGGTGTCTATCTTTTCACAGTAAGTAGCACCAACAGCTTGCTCCTCTTGCTCTTTCCTGGTGGGGAAAAGAGGATCATACTGTATTTCAGGGCATCAGTCATGAAAATACCTTCTTCAATGGTGTCACTGGTATGCAAACTAAAGGATCTCATTATCACATTCATGTAGCAAACAGGTGTCAAACAAAGGTGAATTTAGTCTCAGTTCAAGCCCTACAGCAGGGGATGGATAATATGCCTGCCCCTCAACCACTGCAGTGCAGGGTCAAGGGACTTTAAAGTCTGCAAGTCGACAAGGGCCAAGCACTAGAACAGATGGCAGCACATGGTCCAGTCTCCAGGATCCCCTGTAGGGAAGCTGCACCTCACAGGATGCAGTGATTGTTCAAACCAGAGTAGTGGTATTCACCAGAACTCATGCCTGTGAGCTCTGAGCATGCTGGTGGTCCTCATCCTGTTGTCAACCTCCACTGAGCCTGTCATTTTCTGATGAGTGGAATAAGTAAGACAGCTGTCAGGCTCCTGACTGCCCCAGGACTTTCACAAATTAAGGTGTTCAACACAAAAAGTTACCAAAGTAGAGAGAGATTTTGAGTTTGAAATTTTCACACACACAAAAAAAAAAACCCCACAAAAAAACAAAACCAAAAAAACAACTTGCCATTTGTTCAACACAAAAAGTTACCAAAGTAGAGAGAGATTTTGAGTTTGAAATTTTCACACCAAAAAAAAAAAAAAACCCACAAAAAACAAAACCAAAAAAACAACTTGCCATTTCTCTCGTTCTTTGTAAATTCAGCTCCCTGAACTCTGGGAACTAAAGAAGCAATGATAGGAGATCTGCTCCCAATTGCATGAGAATGGCTTTGAATTATCTCCTCCCTAATCTAGAACTAAAGAAAGAAGTCACACTAAGAAAATAACTTCAGTGTAACTTTACAGCATGTGTCTCCTAATGCATGCATTTCACTGTTTTCTTTCAGTGTCCAGGTCAACAACCAGAGATTAAGTGGGTAAAGAATAGACTGGAACTACAGCCAGTTTTGCAGAATACAGAGCATATCTCATTTCAGCACATAAGCTTGAAGTGTAGATGTACTTTAAAATAAGTAGGTTTTTAATTTCTGTTGCACTGTGCATTGATTATGCATCACAGCACTCTTACATAAATACTAAAGAATGAAAAAGGGAATTAGTGATGATGCACAGAAAAAAAAAAAAAAAAAAGGATTTGTACCTTGTTTTCTGCTTTTTGTGGTTTATGAAGAAATTCTGAAAGATCTTAAGGAAGGTGTTCAGTAGTACTTTTTAAAATGTGAGTTTGCTCAGCTGTTTTTATAATTTCTGAAGTAAGAGGAATGCCAAGGAAAGCTAGAAATTTCTGGCCTCATCCACCCTTGTGATTTGGTTAGGGATACCTAGAGCAGTAACCCTCCTTCTGCAGTCTGCATATGGAGAAAATTACTGGAAGCCACATGTAGTAGCACTGCAGCTTCTCCCTTCAGTCAGGGAGGTTGAATCAGGGTAGATCGTGGTTTATGCTATGTTTGTTCTGATCGTTGGTTGCACCTTGCCCGATTGCAACAGCCTTGAGTTGTACATGGGGAACTTGCCCACCTTTACACTGAAGAGCCCCTGTGCTGAATCTCTAACAAGGATCAGATTCCCAGGTACACAAGCTAGGAGGGGCTAGAAATAACGAGTGAAATCCAGTTAAATACTTGGCAAAATTCCCACTAGTTTGAAGAGAAACCAGGTTTTCTCAAGAACAGCTCTCAAGTCAATCAGTTTTTCATATTGTGCCAAGTACAGGTTTCCTATTTCTCCAGTCATTGAGTTTCAACAAGATCATTCCTGACCTTCAAAATATGGGGAAAAAATAAGTTACGTATCACTATAGTAAGATATGATGAGAATAAAAACGGTATAAGCTTGGTCTTCCTTTTTCTGTTCACATATTCAGGAAACCTTGGAATTTCTAATATAAAACCTAAATTAAGTTTCCAAGTGTTTAATCACCAAATAATTTTTTACAAGACTGATTTGAGGCAACCACTCTTTTTTTTCCCTTTTGTTTTAATTTTGGCCCTATTTCCTCATTTCTTGCTATATTCCTGTCATAATTCCTTAAAAAGGAAATACTGACTATCTAAAAGAGAGTTTCTGTTGTAATTAGGGTCAAGACATATCTTTACCTCCGTGTCCTGTTGTGGTACAAAATGTTCATTTCAAATGCTTTGGCTCTCAGAGCGATCTTATACCCAATGCTGCCCATGCCAATGATCCCCAGAGTAGCTCCCGTAACTTCTACTCCCAGTAAATCAGCTTCACAGTACTCCATACCTGGAGAAATTGCAACATGATAGCCTGCAAGAAAAACACTCCAATATGAAAAATGAATTGGGTCCAACACAGAGGAGCAAGGCAAAAGAGTCTGGTCTTGGTGTGCTACTGTAGCACACTTTTAACGATTACAAACACAATTTTAAATAGCAATGGTTTTGGTAATGTCTTAGGTGACTCCCTAATAATCATCTTTCCCTGCCACTTGTGATATTCCCATTTATTCTCACCATACTCCAAAAAGCCTTCTGATGTAATCTCCCCTAAAAATCCTTTTACTGCTTTAGACTCATTAAAATATTGCCCTGTTCTACATCAACAATAAAAATAATTATTGCCAGTAACACTACAGAGTTTGGAAATGTTATGTGGAGAATAACACCAGGTGTTGGGTTTGCTGTTTAGAATAAGAACAGGTTTCCTGTTCACTTCTGCCACTCTCCTTGTAAAGAAAAGTGTGACTTCTTTAAAAATCACTACTCAGAAATTTCTATAATTATCTGTTAAACCTGAAAATTTTTTGATCGTTCTGGACAGAAAATACACTTATATGCACAGAGACAGCACTTAATATTCTGATAGCAAGGTGCCAGGCTTCTGATATTGCAGTCTTCTGATACTGCCAGCTCTTCTAAAACATAAGCAGAATATTGTGAAAGTATCAAAAAATGCCTCAGGATAAAACTCAGTTATGCCAGGGCAGAGCTATCAGAAATGCTACCAGGGATAGTTTATGTAGATGGGAAGAAGAAATTAATTTCCCTTTTAATCTGTCTCCTCCTTGTGAGGTAGAGATAGATTTAGTGGGAGACAAGTCTCTTGAGTTTCTATGAATCCAGTGGTACAACTGGCAAATCAATGGTAGATAAATTTAATTGGATAAATCTGGAAGATCTTTTCCTGAAAAAGGAGGTGTTCCAACCAAGGCAAGGGTAGGTCTATCCAGGGAAATGGCAAGAAAAAACTGTGGAAGAAACTAGAAAGGATGCTACTAGCAGAAGTGGGAGCAGGTTCCCTTGTTGCTCTCTAATGTTCCTTAAATTATCCAATTCAGCACCAATCCATTTCAGTCCCTGAGAATAAGGCCATGTGTCTTTCAGCCCCAGCTTTCAGCATATACCCTTATTCTGCTCCATTGTTGCCTCCCACAGTCTAATTTCTTCTGCCAGCCTGTGACTGCAGCGATTGTCTGATCTTTGGCATCCCCCACTTTTGGTCAACAGCATTGTAATACTATCACATCAAGAAGCACGTCTTACATCAGCCAAATGTCATATTCTCTGAAAATGTGTTGCTGAGGAAAGCAATGAAATTTAAAATTTTTATATGTAGGAAGCAAACTTCAGTGTGTTGTTCATCTCAAACTATTAAACTAGGTCTACAGCTGTATTTATTCTAAAAACTAAGTTCCAGCTTCTAAGATCACTTGGTCCATAAAGCAAAAAGTTGTATTTGAATTGAATGGGATTAGATTCTGCTCAAGTTTTTTCAACTCAGGCTGGTGACCTAGGAAAACTAAACTCACAGAATTTTATTTATACCTCATTGAAATATATGTTATGTATGTGTATAATGTAATAATTTAGATATATTTATGATATATAAAATATATGAAAGTAACAACTATTCTATTTTCCAGCCCAACATAGATTTTCACATTTTATGTGAAACTAGGTGCACTACAGATAACTCTAGGAAAAGTCAAGTTAATGGTAGGTAAATTTTGTATAAATTTTAGAAGCCACAAAAGAATTGAGATGTTACCTTCCACTAGTCTTCTAGCAGATGCCAGCAGCAAAGCCATCCCAGTATCTGCTGTGCTGCTGGAAACAGCATATGGAGCATTAGCCATCTTCACACCAAAGCTAGCTACAAGTTTCAGGTCCAGGTGATCCATCCCTACTCCTGAATTCGCAATCACTTTCAAGTTTGGCAGGCTCTGGAGGAGCTCTTGGTCGATTATTGGTTTGTGCCACCACAAATAGATAGCCTGGACCTTTTTACTCAGATGTTTTCTGTTTTCAAGAAACTCCTTCATGGTGATGAGGTAGAAATGTTTCTTCAGGAGGGCCACATGGCCATGCAGTATCCCATGTATGCCACCAATTTCATTTACCAAAAGCCCAGGTAGCTCTCCTCCTCCCATGATCTGCACAAAGAAGAAAGACACAAAGTGTCAAAGAAAGACATATAATTACTTCCAGACATTTTAAAGAATAATCCTGTTCATGATATCTACAAGAAATCTCATAAACCACAAATTTAGATAGGGAGGCAAACAAACCGAGACAAGAAAGCAGCTCTTTTAAGTAATCTATTAGACACACATACACAGAGGTATTCACATAATCAAGTCTGAACAAGTTCTGTCCCTCATGGTCTGTAAGGTTTCATATTACTGCCACCAGGCTCAGAACACACAGTTACTTCACATTAATTACTTAGTTTCAGACCATCAACAGTCTGGTGCATTCCCTACCCTGAAATCCAAATTACCGCGTCTAAGTAGTTTAGAAAAATGTTGGACCAAATCTAGTTCGTGAAAATAAATTGTGCAGCTTCACCATGAACTTTGAGTTACCAAGTTAATTTTTAAATGTTTCATTGCAGATTTTTGCAGCCTACCATCCTGAAGACACACTAGTGACTTTTTAACTTCAGTGCCTTCTCCTGAGGCTTTCACAAATTAACAAAATAACAGATGCTTAGGTGTTTTCCAAGAAGGGATTATGAACTCAAATTAAAACATGGGGGTTTTTTTCAGGCAATCACTGACCATCTGTTTGTAGCTCCCAGAGGTTTTTTTTTTTTTTTTTTTTTTTTTAATTAGACTATTCACAACTGCCATTGATCTTCCATAGGAATTTGGGGGAGAGCTGCATGGAGAGCTATGAAAGGGCTGAAGATCTTGTAATCCCCTATTGCTGTTGTCCTGTTATTGCAGTTCTTACCATTGTCTTGTTAGTAGTATTTCACTATTTACAGCCTAATGTCTAACTCTTAGCCTGTCAACACTTCCTGTGCTAAAACTTTATTTTTACCATCTCTTCAAGAAGCCTGACCATATTGCAAAATACTGGAAAGGCTCCCTGATTTTATGGAGGTGACAAACATTTTACTGAATTTTCTGACTTTGTTGCTTGCTCATAGGAAAGAGAACATATGAAAAAGCTTGGCCCTGGGCTGCAAGTTAGGACTGATCACTAATTTTTCTTTAGGCTGTGCCCTCACCCATGTGATTTCAGTGGTAGATCTACCATTGCTTCATGGCCAGTCAAGATAAAAGCATCATTTTTGTCTGCATGGAGGAACTAATTCGCTTGGGTTTTACTTTTGTTTTCAAAGGATCCCCTCGGGAAAATAAAAGATATTTTTCAATAATTGGCTTGGCTTTGATTTAACATGTAGATGAAGCAGAGCTCTTCTTACATTAGAAAACTGTAGGGACTACAACCATTTCAAAGAAGTCTGCTTTCCTCAGTGTTTTGATATAAAAATCGAATATTGCAATATTAGCTGAAAAGTGTTTCAGGACACAGTCAAATTTCTGCAGGGAATTAACAGTCAATTCACCTTTAACATATTTGGGAGTGTTACAAAAACTGCTTGGTGTACTTGCTTATCATTATGTTGCAGCAAGTACTGGGAAGAGAACACAGGTATTAATTGAAATAATGGACTGAAGCTATCAAAGTGCAGTTTAAAAGCTTCAAACAGATCCCTTTTATTAGTTCCACTTTATTTTTCAGAATTGTAAATAACATTACAGAACAAGTATAGCGAGATGACAGCTTTGCAGCAACAGGACAAGAAGAGCAGTGCAGGAACAGGTTGCTTTTTTCCTAGTTTAAAAGTGGTACTGCAAGAAATAGTGCCTTCCCATACGCAGGAGATTTCATGGTATCGTCTGGCACACATCATTTCGGAAGCACTTCACTTGGAATAGGTTGGCCATTGAGAACAGACAGCATATTTGCTATTGCTTCTTCTGCCATCATACGGATAGCTTGGACTGTCGCCGTTCCAATGTGAGGGGTTATGATGATGTTATTTAATTTTAATAAAGGATGATCTCTGTAAGAAACAGAAAGAACAGAATGTATTACACAGGGAATTTACTCTGCAGCTATTCCATGCTAGCTGTCAAGAATTGAACCTCAGGAAACAGCAGTGGCATGTTGAGATAAAAGGGCCAGTAGCACAGAACCAGCATAAAGCTGTGGGAAGCTTGCTTACCTATTTTGTCTTCCTCTCTATTGGTCTAGTTACCTTGCCTGTCAGTTAGGCTGGCAAAGAACGGACAGATGTGGGAAAGGTGAAGAGTTTGTAATTTATTTATGACTGTGTGAGACAGGCTGAGATTTTGCCCTTAAACAGTGAGAAAGAGTCCCCATGGAGATCAAGATTATGAGCACTCTTTTGCATACAGTTTAAAACATTTCAGATTAATAGAGTGGAAACCAGGTTTCTTTACCTTGGCAGAGGCTCAGGGTATGTGACGTCCAGAGCAGCAGCCCTAATAACCTTATTCTGGAGAGCTTCTACCAATGCATCTTGATCAATAACTGCACCTGCATTTGAAATTAAATCTTGCTACTGTGACGAGTTAATGAACACATTTTTAACAGGGAGTGGGGAAAGGTCTCCAGGGTCCAGTGAGAAAAATTACAGGATCTTCATCTTGTTAGAAAGTAGAATGTCTTTCTAACAACCATTAACCAAACAAAACAGAGATTTTATTTATTCACCTTTGATTAGAGAAGGATTATGGTCCACTGCATAAGGCTTTTCCTGGGATGTGACCAGTTTCAGTCTTTTCCTCATTTTGATACTGACTTTCTGTACTATTATAGACAAATAATATAATCTCTTCAAGCTTTCCACTCTTTTATCTCTGCTTTGTTTACTGAAACTATAATCTCTCTCAGTGCCAACAGATCTGTAATACCATGTGATGTTTCTTTTCTATCTAGCTGTTCCAAATGAAACTTGTTTTCTCTCTTTTTTCCTTGTACCCCATTCATCATCGGTGATGATAAACCTTTCAGTTATTTCCACTGAAGAAAAGCTGTCTTTAGAGTAAGGCTAAATAGAACAGAACATCTGCTGAGCATTCTCTAAATTCTACAGGACCTTGAACACACAGCATCTGATCTATGATAAGTCATTCATTTGTAGACTGCCAGCTACTTCATGACTCAAACAGTACAGGGCTACCAGAGACTGAGGTTGGAGGGGGGAATGTCAACATAATCAACACAACCTTAACTGTGGAGCCACAAACAGTGCTTTCAGATCATCCTACCTCGGCTGATGTTTATAAAAGTAGCTGTGGGTTTCATCAGCCCCAGCTCCTTCTTCCCAATCAATTTGTGAGTCTCGGGAGTCAGGTTCACAACCAACATAACAAAGTCAGATTGCTGCAGCAAGTCTTCCATCTTCTCACAGTAGTGGGCACCAACTGCCTCTTCCTCCTCCTTTCTTCTGAAGGAAAAATGCACACACCCCAAAACCAATACAACTATTTCTAACTGTCTTTAACAATCAATCAACCCTAGGAGAGATCTGGAACAGCAGAGAGACTGAGAGGTTTGAGGCCAAGATAAAGGAAAAGACATTGGTAAGTACAAATGGTGGAAGGGAGGCAGGAAGGATGTGGGCTAACGGGAGCAAGCAGTTAGAGGAGTGTCGGGACCCTGAAGGAGTGACCTATGTGTGAAAGCAAAGCACATATGCAGTATTAGGTACAGGACGTTGAGGATGCAGTCAGACTCCACTCTTCTCTCTTGTATCTATGCCAAGCCCTGTAGAGTCTCTCCTTGCCTGACACGTGAGTTAGGACTTGGGTTGGAAAAGAAATGAAGGGGAAATGAAGTCTGAAAGAAAGGGAACTATAAAACTAAAAGAAGTTAAAACCCTTGTAATTGGTGCTGGTGTGATGAGTGATCTGGCTGGGCTCAGGAGAGCGGTGGCTGGCTGGGTGTGCCAGGGATGCTGCCAGAAACCTGAAGAAGAGTCTGGCAGGACAGAGGGGACACAATGAGGGCACAATGCCTGATTTACTCTGATAACATCTTCAGAAAGGTTACACAGCCCTTGTTCTGAAGTGCTAGTAGCTAATCAGGGCAGAGGGAGCGCTGGAGGCTAGGGGGAGCTGCTTCTCGAGAGGAGCAGTAGGGAGCCAAAGAGAGGAAGTGGCAGCATGCTGGCACTCCTCATGCTGCTTACAACTGTCACAAGTGCCTAGGAAGATCGAGGACAGAGAGCAGAGCTGTGGTTTCTGTCACTGTCTCCTGACTAATCACATGCAGAAACCAGTCATTTTTACCTCCGGTTCCTGTTATGGTACAGGATCCTCATGTCGAAGGCTCTGGCTCTCTGAGCCACTTTGTACCCAATGCTGCCCATCCCGATGATCCCAAGCGTTGCTCTGGTTACTTCCACTCCCAGCCAGTCAACAGCAAAATACTTCGTGTCTGGAGAAACCGCAATCTGGCAGCCTGAGTGTAAATACATACTAAATGGGTACAAACTGACCATAAAAGTAGGTTTTGGGGAAAGAAAAACTTTCTCACCACCACAACAGCAGAGCTCTGGAGCACTCCTTAAAAAACATCCTTCCTAATTTTGACCAGTTTATAGAAGGGCCTGGAAGGTGCCATTCCCTGCAGCCAAGGCTGGGGGCAGTAACACAGGGGGTCTCCCAGGTGGTTATTGTGCTGGGACAAAAGGTTCCTCAGGGACTTAGCTCTTCCGTGGCTGGAGTATTTTCTTGGAAATTCAAAAATAGCTTCTTTGGCACTTACCACCCTGCAAGCATTGACTTCGCTTCTTTTTAGCTGGGGTAAATCTCACTATTTCTCTTCTGGATCACAACCCAGAGCAGCCCCACTGCTTGAATGGGGGTGAAGGTTACAAATTCCAGCTCAGCCAAGGATGACTATGAGTTGTTCTACAAAGAACCTGAGGTCCAACAAGATGCAATAGTGAGAAAACATCACAGGGAAAGAGGTGTTATTTCATGCTCAGGGGTGAAGCAGCAGTGACAGAAATACTACGAGTTGCTGAACAGAGGCAACATCTTGTGATAGTCTCTACTGACACCTTCCTTCCCCTGAAAGGCATTGCGTAGAGCAAGGGCATGTGGGGAAAAGACCTACCTTTAAGGACATGAACTAAGTTGGTGGTGGTGCAGTTTGGAATAGGATCATCAGCTATTTCAATAATAGTGCTGATGCTCTTCCAGAAATACAACCCATTGGTTCAGACAAACTTTACAGAAGCAGGAAAAAAATTAAGAGTTATACTAATTATTGCTCCTCTAGAGGTGGGGACATGACCATTGATGCTTTGTACTTTGCTGTAGCTCCTAACACTTGTTCCAAGGGGAAATTCAGAAGTGGTGACATTTAGTTTGGATGCATTTTGCATTCAGTTTTTACAGCTATAAATAACTCACCCAGTGAACAGCCAGAGGAGAATTAAGCCCCAGACATTATTCCAAACAGTGTATCACAAGCAACTTTAAAGTGCATAATTTAGACAAAGGCCTTACTCTTGTCACCACTGCCTTAAAAAGAAGCAAGACATAGGAAGAGGCCTTTGAAAATGGGAGTTCTCAGAAATTTTTTTCCCCTGTAAAAGCATCCCAAATATTGATTTAGACAGATCATCAAGTGAGATATGCCAAAGAAGTAGCTAAGATCCAGGAAAATGTAAAACATTACCTTCTACTAGTCTTCTGGCAGAGGCCAGCATCAAGGCCATTCCTATGTCTGCTGTTGAGTCTGCCACAGCATGTGGGGTGTTGGTCACTTTTATGCCAAAGCTGGAAATCATTTTCAAGTCTAAGTGATCAACTCCAACCCCAGAGTTTCCAATTACCTTTAAATTAGGCAGGCTTTCTAGAAGCTCCCGGTCAACAGTTGGCCTGCATTCAAACACGAAGACAGATTGGATTTTTTTGCTCATTTCTTTTTTGTTTTCAAGAAATTCCTTCATGGTGATAAGGCAAAAGTGTTTCTTCAAAAGTGGTGCAAGGTTTTCTAGCACACCATGAGTTCCTCCTATATCCAGAATCAAAACGCCTGGCAACTCTTCTTCTGCCATGACCTGCAACAGGGGAATAGAAGAAATACTCCTTTGTCTAGGAGAACACCCTTAAAGGAATGATGCTGTAGTGATCATTGAAATTCACATCGGTGAAACACGAAATTGGTGGAATGCTGCTTTTAAGGATACAGAATAAATCCACAATCACTTGGTACTAGCAAGTTCCCAGTATTTTCACTAAGTGCTGATTTAGACTATAACACCAAGGAATATCCACCCCCTTAGATCTAAGTCCAGTCTTACAGGGTGTTCTTCTTGAATAGTTTTATTTTAGTCTTGATTTAATACAAATCTTGTAGCTTCTCAACCTCATTCACAAATTCATTTCTATAAGCAGTGGTATGAAAGAGAGGCCGCTAGAAAATTACTCAAAGTTTCTTGCCTACTGATTATGTAGGGACGCACTGAGGCTCAGATGGGTCTGACAAATATCTGTCAGGAATGGTTTAGGTCTAACAGATTTGCACGATAAAGGGCCATCCCTGGACAGCTGCTTCACTGCTTGTCTTCAGTATTTTAAACATCTGGATCTGCACCTGAACTTACTTCTCACAAAATTTAGCACATCCATGCCTATATGCTGAAGTAGGGAAGAGCACTAGTGGTGGTACTGACAACACAGTTCTTCATATTAGAACTTTTCCCCTGTCCAGACAGTTCAGCGCTGTCCAGACAGTCCTCTCTGCAACACTCATGCAAATGTATTGTATCCTGCAACAACACAGGGGCTTCACAGATAGCCAAATGCCTAATTAGAAGCAACCCTTACTGACAAAAATGATAGCTGAAAATTTCCTGCATGTCTTAACAACAATCTTGTCGAATTTCCTGCACTTCTGTTTGCTGTGCACCACTCCAGGTCCTACTGTGTCCTAGACTTGGGTCCAGGAAACCTGGTGTTGTGCTAACTGCGTCAGCACAATTTTCCACAGCAGTATGCTCATTTATTCTGGACAGAGAGTGCTGGGCAGAGATTTCCTGCTGCTTCAGTCCTCTCACATGAGCCTTCAGCAAGTAACCAGAATTCAAACCTGTGACAAAAAGGCGTCAATGCAGATTGGAAGTTTCTGACAAACTGTATTTACCCTTGTCCTGTCCTAACTCAGGCTTATCACAACTGCATCTATTATATGCCTCCAATTTCGACACCAGTAATACTGCTTTATCCTGGCCTTGACCTGCATTTCTGCCTCAGTTCCAGTCTGCTGCTGTACATGGGCTAGAAGGGGCCTCCATGTTAGGACAGATCTGCAGTTCACCATGAACAGTGTCTCTGATCTGCTGCTGTACATGGGCTAGAAGGGGCCTCCATGTTAGGACAGATCTGCAGTTCACCATGAACAGTGTCTCTGATAACACTAACTGGTTCTGAACAGCAGTAAACAAAGCCATGAGATGAACAGTGCAACCATATTGCAAAGGGATACCACATTCTTAAATATGTATCAAATCTATTTCTTGCCGACTGAAGTATTTTGAACCCTGCCAGTCCCACATGGTTGTGAAAATTGTGCAAATTTCCCCAGCTGTAGTCGGTATATTTCTTAAGAGCATCACACAACATGACCTTAGAAAGACAAACTAGATTCATCCTCCAGAATGAATGACACATAGAGTAAAAGACAAGATTTGATGTCATATTGTTACAGCATTGTCCAGCTTTCTGATGATCACAACCTGATGCTCCTGCAGCAACTTACTCAGACTGGACAGCAACTAAAACTTAGACTGTTAAAGGATGGAAAACTGGGTGCCTGATATGATCGACTGACTGGCAGGTGTCAGTAAGGCATCACTGTATTACACTATTTGCTTTCATCACCACTTTCTCCTCTGATACAATACACCACTCATGAAGGTCTGAGTCAGACCCATATTCATTTTAGAAGCACTTCCTAAACTTCACAAGCAGAAATATGATCCATGAGGAAGCCACAGTGCAGCGCAGCAAGAGCTCGTTTAGCTTTAAACAAATCAGACGGTGGACTAGAAACAGGCTAGTTGCATGCAATTAATCTTTTCATTACTGTGGATATGCTGAGTCTGCCAAAATTTCAGCCATGTTTGATGTGCATATGAACCATTAACACACTGCAGCTTTTGTTCAAGAACTGGGGGTCTGCTAGTGCCAGGTATAATCTTAAAAAAATAAGAGATAGCAGTAAACTAAAAACACTTAAAGGAACTTTGCAGAGGGAAGGGGGACTATTCTGATACCAACCTTGGTCTGAGGAGCATTTATTGTTCGTCCTTCAGCACTACTTGGGCATGTCTTGTACCCCTGTCTGTAATCCACACTTCTCCTGTGACACCGATGTCCATGAGAAGCAATAGCTGGATGAATTAATTTATAAGCCAAATCTGACTGGCCAGGCATCAAGGGAATCAGTTTTAACAGACTGAATGCTTTGCTTCTGAACATAATTATTCAGTTATCAGATGTCTTGTCCAATGTGCTAAATGTAACACCTGTTAAGGATATGACAATTTTGGTTTTGGACTAGTATCATCTGCTGTACCACTAACACTCTTTCCTTAAAAAAAAAAAAAAGCCCTGTCTCTCCTCAAATTTTCTATTTATAGAACATTATCTGCTTCTGTGTATGTATACATCTATAACCACATGGAACACACTAATATAACATAAGTGTACTAAGTTCTGGTCCTCACATTGCAAAGAAAACTTTGAAAATATGACTCAGATTGAGGCAAGTGGGCAAATAAAAAGGACTACATTTGAGCATTAACTTCAGTGCTGACTGAAGCTGGCCTTATTTCTTTTGTGGAGCTTGACTGACAGCTTACTTGCACATTTGTTGACTGGCACTGCTGTAGCACTTGGAACTTGGCCAAATCAGAGCAAACTAAACCTATTACATAATTCTTCCTACCTTCGTTTTAAAAGTTAATAGCACGCGTTATGCAGAACAAACTCCTCCCACGGACTTCTCTATCGGGGAAAACTAATTACCTGGATAACGACCAAAGAATTAACCACGGCTGGTTTCTTTCTGCCGATGTTTCCTCCACAGCTCGCTCCTACCGCAGCTGGAGGAGCCGCCAGCACCCAGCCCCGGGCCCACCCCGTCCGCCGTCCCCTTGCTGACCGTGCCCAGCTCCGGTGGCAGCTGCGGGCGGGCCCCGCCGCGCCGGGCCCTCTTAACCCCTGCCCTGCCAGACGGCTCCGGGGTGCTTGGTAGTAGGACTGCTGTGACTGATAATGCAGTAGTCGTTTTACAATAAGAATGTACAGTAACTTCAGATTTCCATTTGAATAACTTGAAAAATTACTTTCGATTCTTAAAAATGTTAAGATCCTAAAATGTACAGGATGGTGTTGATTAATCTATCAGTTATATTCGTGGAGGCACATGAGTTTCATGTGCTAAATTAAATTTTGGGAGCCAAATTCTGAAGCTCTTTTCAGATGGAAACTGAATGCCTCCTGGCAGCTGATCACTCACTTAAGAAAGATAGATACTGAGGAAAAAATAGACTGTTAACATACACAATCAGCTATAATTTCTCTTTTCATGTATTTGGTAAAAGCTTTGCGTACTGATATATGCAGACAGTTGACAGCTCTTCTTTAACTGAACCACGTTGAAATGAAGCAAAAAAATCTGAAGCAGAAATGGGTAGAGAAACTTGGGTAGGAAAAGGAGTCAGCAATCTTAATGTAAAATTGTGTGCGTACTGCATAACTTGATATAGAGCTTTTTTCATAGTGTACTCCTTTTAATGTTACTTTTAAGTGAACTGCTATTTCAAAAATCCCTACAAGAGTTTTATACCTATAGCCAAATGTTGAGACGTATCAGAATACAGTAAGGAGTTGTGACATGGTTTAATGTAGACATTTTGTGTTTAACGTGGTGGGAGTGTCTTATGCTCAGATACTGTTAGTATCAACTTTTGGCAGGATGCTTGGCAATTTGGCAGACATATTGGCAGTTAGGGGTGACTGGGGGAAGAAAGAACAATGTAACTTCTTATTTAAAAATCTCCCTCTGCAGAAATGGCAAATTAAAGGGGAGATCCTTCCTCATCCTCTTGCTTACAAGCCATGTTTGGATCTCTGCTGTTTTAAAGAGTGAGTAAAAGTTCCAATTGTACAGGTGTTTATACTAGAGAATAATACAGAATGTTAACATGCTATAATTGCATGCTACATTTAAAGAAAATGTAGCCATATTTTAGATTTGTTACCATGGTGCAATATTGTAGTCTGCAGCATATTTTTGTGTAGCAGTAATATTTATCTGTACTTTATAATAGGAAAACATGTTTTTTTCAGTTTGAATCCTTTTTGGGGAAAAGAAACTGGAACACTATGTGAAAATATAAAGCAGATTATTTTCACTGAAATGTACTCCATTTACAGTTGACTCCCCCTCCCCCCCCCCAAGTGTTAGATGAAAAAGAAGCAAGGTTTTACTGAGTTTCAAAACCACATGGTAATTGTAAGATGTTCAATTTTTGCTTTGTCAGGGTTTCAGACATCTAAGAACTGCATTTCACAAAGTTCCTCTGGAACATCTTCTTAAAAATACACTTTTTTTTTAAAGGAGGCTCACAATTATTAAAAAAATACCCCCTGAAATACAAGGCTTTGGCTGCTAAATTACTTTTTGTACCCCTTTTTTAAGAAATATTTTAAACCCATGATTTATCTAGAACTGAATACTGTAAATCAGATAACCTCTTGTGAAACCAGGTCACTTTAATCAATAGGTGGTATTGGGTCAATGTGGATTTAGGGAGGATTGTTCAGATGTTGTACATTTATTTAACTGTAATCAGAAGCGTGAATAGCTGTGGCTTTTGCTCAAACATTAGTTGTGCCTCTGCCTTTCTGTTAAGGTTACATGAAAAGTGAGAGAGGAAAAGAGGGGACATGGAAAGAGGGAGCTATAAAAAACATATCAGTATTGTAGTTACTAGTGTTTGTAATTAAAATTAAGCAAAGCTAATCCACTTATATCTATAGTTTTCAAAATTATTAGTTGTAAGCATTGCTCTCAGCAGTATAATGTCTTTTTCTTTTCCCACAGAAATTTATCGCCTAAGCTTACAGCATAATTATCAGGAAAAGAAATTCAAATAAATAGTGACAGTATGGACTTTCAAGTTTGTACTTACTGTGTTTGCAGCCTCTTTCAGTTCAGTAATGCAGGTCTGCTAGCCACCATAAACTTGCATGATTTGTTGCAAAAGCTAGTCTCAGTTCCTGTCTTTCTTTTCCTGTGATTTCCTGGTCCATGAAGCCATCTAAGCATAAAAAATATTGTCTACAAACTAGTTAGGAAGATGAGATGGAATCTGAGATCTTTTCTCAGATTTTGCTAGGTATTTGCTGTATGTGCTTTGGGCCATGAAGTAATATATGACTCTGAGACTTGCTTCTTAAAGGGAGCTTGACAAAAAAAGGAGTATTGCTTATCTCTAACAGAAATTCAAAGAAACTTCACGATTGTTGCCATTCTTCCTAGTCATTGATCATATTGCTGTGGCAATCTCACGTTGTCAGAATGCATTAAATTGTATTTGGAATGACATTGCTAATGAAGAAAGTCAGGAGGGAGAACTTTGGAGGACAAATGAGATTTATTTCATCTGGCATATTTTTTTTCCTACATCTGTGTATTCCTATTTACCAGCTAAGTGTGTGGCCTTGGTCAAGATAGGATACAGAATCTGTATCTTGTTAAGGGTTCTACAGATCCTTCTGCTTTATAGTCTTGAGCTGTTCCATTTAGTCGACCTAAGCAGATACAGTTCTGTGAAGTATTAAAATAATCTTAAACGTGGCTAAGAAATCATGTACTTTTGGTTTGTGTATATGCGTGTTGAGTAATGTAGACTAATCTGTGAAGCTACAGCAATTAAAAAAAAAAACCAAAGAAAACAACCCAAACAAAAAACCCAACCTAAATTGAAGTCCAACATGTGAAAGTAAGTCTGATAAAATTTTGAATCCATGCTGCTGTTTAACTTCTGGTTTCCTACTCTGTCCTGTCCCCATGGACAGCAACTATGATGGCATGGTAAGACAGAGAAAGTTTTGAATTGAAAGATGGATAAAGAAAGTCAGAGTGTCAGAAATAAATACATTGAAAATTTGGTATCTGTCTTGTTTTTCTGCTGAAAATGTTTTTATCTTCAGATGTTGAACAAGTGTGGAGCTGTCCAAAAGGACGTCTATTGCTAGAGGTTTGTTTTGTTTTTTTTTCAGAAAGCAGCTGACTTACTGCAACAAATCTACAGTGTATGTTATGAGGTTAAGCACTTTCAGAGTAAATTTGTTATGTGTTCAACTTCTAAAATACCACAAGTTTTTTTGCATATTGTCTGGACAGTAAAATTTTGGTTGACTATAACAACCTCTATGTAGTCTCAATTGTTAGAACCGCAACTGCTTTTATTTAGTGTGGTTTGCTTGATTAGAGTTGTATTTATTTCTTTTCCAGAGCTCTCTAGACTGTATCCCCAGTTACAACTCAAAAATCAGAAAGAGAACTTCTTGGCAACCGCTGCCTTGAAACGACAGCGAAGTTTGTTCTATGTAGGAATGTAGTTCTTGCTCTGACAGCTCTGTCTGGGAAATGGATTCATGTCCATGGATGGGGAGAAGTTGAGCTTTGGTTTGTCTCCACAGACTTACTAGCTAAAGTACAGATCAACTCCTGCATCCATACCACCCTGAATCCATAAATACTTCATTTGCTTTTGCTTAAAATGAAACCTAAGCTAAAGCCTTGTGAGTTAGAGCTGGCTGCGTGTGAAGCTGGCTCAGACGCTGCCCTGTATTGCTGTGCAGCTGGCTCTGTGCTGCTGTATCTTGGCTCCAGTATTGTGTCTGAGACAGTAAGTGCTCCTTCAGACTGTAAACCTGGTCAGTACTGTGCAGAGAGTTCTGCAGGGCTTGTCTTCTGTTAACATAAAATACCTCTTGGTGACAAGCCTGCACAGTCTGGCATTGGCAATATTATGGACACAGCAGTGCTTCTGCATCACCCCTTCCATATTTAGCCTCTTACCCATGTTTTCATCTAGCTCATTCTTAGGCCTGAATCCCAACCTCCTGCTGCTACATATATCAGAGTGTAGCATGGCAAGGCCCATGTCATGGGCAACCTTGGCAGCCAGTGTCCAGACTCAACGAAATGCATCCTTATTCAACGCATTTGCAAGCTAAGTGGTTTTGGAGTGGTGATCTTGTGAGATTTGAAATTAAGAAAGCAAGGGGGAGAGAACAGAGTCAATTTTAAACTTCTGAATTCAAATTTGAGAGTCTGTATCTAGCTTTGAGGTGAGCTTTAGACTTCATACAAGCTTTTGGGAAGCAACTGCCATCAGTTTCACTTCTATAAAAGTAGGTAGAAAAGATTCAGTTAATGTCTGAGATACTTAGGTTACGGTGATAACTTGTGTATATGGTGTGCAAAGGTGATATAAATGATGCAGTCTTTTTGAGTAAGATTTATGTAATAACTTATTTAAAGCTTAAGTAGTCTGGTTCTCTTTTTTAAAATCTTAGGCTGTTGATGTTCATTGTTTGTGACAAGCATTTCTGGTTTTGCAACAGCTCAACTAAATTAAATGTATATAATGCAAAACTAACTACAAAAGTTTTGTTGTTCCAGTACTATGTAGATTACACAGTTCTTGAAAGTAAAATTTTGGTTTAGCAGTGCTTCGTAGTGGGCTTCTGGTGCAACATATAATCTCCTTGCACTGATTTTTTCAGTGAACAAAGCAGGTCCTAAGAATGTTGTATTAAAGCTTGGTTTAACTTAAAATTACTTTCTAATCTCCAAATGAAATAGTTGTTCAGAGATTCTGTTTAGTTTGTGGAATTGCTGCATGTATTGTAGAAATTTCCCCACACGGTGAAGCTGTGTTGCTGCTGCTGCTAGAAATGCCAGCAGGATGGAAGAAGAAATGATGGGAGAAAATGAAAATGGCTCTTCAAGTTTTGGATTTTTTTGTACCAAAACAACACAAAAAACTCAAACAAAATAGTCTTCTGCCTCCTAAGTCTAACCAGGGAGTAACTTCAGTCACCTATCAGCTAAATTGTTGACTGAACATCCCATTATATTTCTTAGAAATCTTTCATATAAAATCGAAATGGGCATTAATGATCACTTCAGAGGGTGTTAGAGTTTGATATTATGACTAACTTGGGTTTTCAAGGCTTTGCCTTTTGGCTGTTTTGGAATATGGCTTAAATAGGATGTTTTCATTAGGTTATTGACAGAGTCTAGGATTGTAACTGACTCCATAAAAGCACAGTAAAAACTCTTCAAATGCTGTTTCACTCCAGAAGAGATTTTACTTTCTTTGCTACTAATACTTATGTACATCTTTGAAGTGTGATTATTTTCTTTATAATTTAGAAACTGTCTTGAGGCAAGAAGTCCATCAAAACTTATTTACTGTGTGCTTCTGTTTTTTTTTTAAAGAAGCATCTCCATACTTCTCAATTAAAGTGCCTGCTAGGATGTTTAAGTACAGGATACACCACAGATAATATTTTTCTGGTACAGTCTAATCCTATTTTGTGGACTAAAATAAAACATCTTTACATTAAGCAAAAATTATACTCATCATAGCATTTCCAGACATTTGACAGCAAAACTAACAAGTGAGTAGTACTGTGACAAAAAGTAAGTTTTGTCATAAATGTTAAACCAGATGTGTTACCTCAAACTAGTGATTTTGCATAGTCAGATGGGAAGGACTGAAATTGTATTTTTATGTAAGTAAGGATGGGGCAGCAAGGTTGCGCATTCATGGTATAATGCATGAGTACAGTTACCGTTAAAGGTTTGTGTAATTTAGGTGCCTACTGACTTCTATTTTAATGCATGTGTGTTAATTTCTACTATGGGTGTATGAGCTAAATTTAGAAACTAAAACTTCCTCTAATTCCACTTAAGGTCAGATAAGCTACATCTAGGAAACAAAAATGTGACGTTTTTCCTTCAGGAATGAAGACATTAACTATGACGTTAAAGGGGAGGGATTCTTATGCATTTAACTCAGTAAATCTGCAAAATGAAAGCCTGTTTTACTAGAAGTGCCCAGAGAATAGCTTCTCATCAAGGTCTTTTTTTCATTATTAGTTGAATTTTTAAGCTCCTTTTTTAGCTTTACACCTCTCAAAAAAGCTGACAATTTTTATTATTACTAGGTTTATTTTCATTTATTGAGCCTCAAACAAATTATTGGTTTAGAGGGGAAAAAATGCTTGGAAGCAGGCACCAGGACAGTTTAGATCATTCATTTTCTGAAGTCTATAAGCAGCTGATGACAGAAGCAAAATGTGTCAGCTTGACTTGCACAAAGCCGTTACTCTACTTGTCTAGAGCTGTGCATGTCCACTGTGAGGTCTCAGTTATATATAAAGGGCATTTGTTTCTCTGGATGTGGATTTAGCATACTATCTTTCCAGCTGATACTGGATGTGAAATGAGCATCTTGGCTATATTTTAAAAATTTTCCATGGTAATTGGTTGTTGTGGCTAAAAACAACGGCAAGATAGTTTACTGTGATTTTATGATGGTATTTTGGAAATTAAATGTTGCAGTAAGGAAAGCTTATGTCTTTTAATCAGTAATACAAATAATCAAAGGCTTGGTAATATATATTGCTTTTATATTTCCTGTTTTCTTCTGTTTAGGTAAAAAACTTTGCTGTTATTTATCTTGTGGATATCACTGAAGTACCAGACTTCAACAAGATGTACGAGTTGTATGATCCTTGTACCGTCATGTTTTTCTTCAGGTACATGATGGTTCTAGAATGTAACTCAGTTAAATTTTTTGTGTATCAAATACAGTGTCTCGGTAGATCATTTCTAAATACACATCAGCATACTGATGCTTATATTTTCATTGCTTTACAAAAGAGTATACTGATTAAATAGTAAAACAGCATATTTTCTAGCTAGCCTAGTAAATGTTCTGATAAAAGAGTACAAGTTAGTGATAGTGAAAACTGGTTTTATTATTCATTGCTTTTAGTTTTAAATCTGAAACTCCCTGTATAGAATACTGCAGTAATACAGCAGTAAGCCTTTCAAACTTGCTTTAAAGATATACCCAAAGTATTTTTTTGGAGCTAAGGCATCTACGTTAATGAGATAAAACGTGCTACTGACAAGTGTAGCACTCTCTTTGGTGTTAGACAGTAGTGGGAAAGAAATACAAACAATGAGGAATATGCTGAAGGATGATTGCACTGAGTAACAATCTCAGGGGCATGTTTGCAGTCTTTGTTCTAGCTTTAGAAATAGGCAGTAAAATATCAGCTTGAGTGACAGGAGTGGATACTCTTTTCTTTGAGGCTCATTTTGCAAGCCTGTTCAACTTATAAGGGGCTTCTTTTGAATTCTACAAGCCATTCTTGTGGGGAGTATAGCGTTTTTTTCTGTATTATAATACTTTGTTAACTTGTCTGATTTTTTTTTTTTTTCTCTCCCTTTAAAGGAACAAACACATCATGATTGATTTAGGTACAGGTAATAACAACAAGATCAACTGGGCAATGGAAGATAAGCAAGAGATGATTGACATTATAGAAACTGTTTATAGAGGAGCCCGCAAAGGTCGAGGTTTGGTGGTATCGCCAAAAGATTATTCCACTAAATACAGATACTGACGTTGCTTTGGGGCTTTTTTTTTAACCCTACATTCACTTAAATTTATTCTTGTGTATGTGTGTACATATATATATATTAAAAAAACATACAAATCCTTCAATTTTGAGCATATTTTGAATTATTTGAAAGCTTTGAAGTCCATTTGGAGAAGTAGAAGACACGAAGCCTGGAACTGTCTGACTGCAGTAATCCTTCAACCAATTTGGGGTTGTTTATTTACTTTGGCTTGTCCTTATGGTATTACATATTTTCATACACAAAAAGCCTGTTTGGAGAAAAACATTTTAACTGTTTGTTTGCTTTTGTTACACAAATACCTGGGAAAACTATACTATAGTTTTTTTGTGCTGGTTTAATCCTTGCCGGGATCAGAGAGCACGTTGCTGTTGCCCCTCCCCCACCCGCGCCGGTCGGGCTGGAAGTTAGACACAGACCCTGGCTAAAATAACAAGAAATTTAATACAACAGAGTGATAAAACAATCTGAACAACAGTATCAATGGTAACAACAATAAACAGCAATAACAGTGAACAAGACAAATGATATACAGAGAAATACCGCTAGCTGGTTTACAGAAAGAAAGGTTCCCCACCGAGCCTGCCAAAGAGCAAGGAAGAGGTTCCACCCCTGGACCTGACGTCAGCATGGTATGAATAACCCGTCTGGAGATCCCTTCCCCCTCTCTCTGCTGGGGAAAACTTGACTCTATCCTACCTGAACCAGGACATTTTTTTAAAAGAATAAAGTGAGTTACACTTAATCACCTTAATTTTCTTTTAGCTGTTTAAGAATAAAACCAAATGTAATTGGATGCAAGGTCATAATGTTGAAGATGAGGGCTTATCACTTCTGCAGGATTTCCTTGCATAGTATCTTGGTCTTCTGTACCCACTAAAAGTAGGAATAAAACACTAAGGTGCATTTATTAATATTTAGCGAAACTCAGAGAAAACATCTTCCATGACTTTGTGCATGCACACACACACACACACACACACATCCCTGCCCCCCCAATTAATTCACTTGTGATGGACTTGTTTTTTTTATTGTATTTATGCACACAGTAGTCAGTTTGAAGTACTTAGTAGACTCAGCAGCGCCAAAGGCTAATTGCAGTTCTGGAGCTGACTGCATAATCAACAGCTGAAGAAAGGATGAGCTATGCTTTCTCTCAGTTGACCTCCAATTTGTCTAATGGTGTACTAAAATGCATATATACTCATGAGACTTGGATTGACGTTTCTATTTGCATTTCTGACAGCTTTTGTCTTGCGGTAATGGAACCATTGTTGTGTGGGTTTTCTTGTTTTGGGTTATCTGGGGGGGGGTTATTTGTTTTTAACTGAGACATGCATATGTACAGGATCAAGATAAAACAAGCCAGACTCTGCAGAAGGAAGGTACCTGTACTTTTGGTGTAGTTTGTCACAACACAAAGTAGAGACCACCAACCTCCCAGTCAAAGTAGGTCCCTCTTGGTCAGGTTGCCTGTGACTGTGTCCACTGTTGAGTATCTCTGTGGATGCAGATTTCCTCAGCCTTTCTGGAAGGTTTGTTCTTTAATAGTTGAAAAAAGCACTTTTTCACTTGAGCATTTTAATAGTTGAAAAAAACCTGTTTCTTGCATTTAGTTGGAATTTCTTGTGTTTGAACTTGTGTCTATTAACTCTGTCTCATGTAAAACACCTCCAAGTAGTTAGTTTAACTGTTCCTCATGCTCTACTATGAGGTGGTTGTTGCTAGCAAGAAGCTGTAGTCTTTTCTTAAGGTTGAACTAACAGAATTCTCTCAAACCCTCATATGCTTTGTACTCCACCATGTCTTGGTGGCTCTGTTTTAACTGTCTCATAACATGTATTTCTTGAGCTGGGGAGCCCCAAATTAATACAGTATTCTGGGTGTGGTCTAGAGGGCTTTACTTGCACTAATAGTGACAACTATGTGGCTGCAGCCTTTGTTGCCAGGGCACCCTGCTGACTCATGTTCAACTTACCGACCAGACCCCATTCCTCTCCTGCAAAGCTGTATGCCAGCCAGCCCCTCACAACTGCCCTGCAGCATAAGCTTATCCTGCCCTAGAGGCAAGGCTCAGCACCTGCCCTTGAACTTCAGGAGGTTCCTGTTGGCACATTTCTCCATCCTGTCTTCTAGCATATCAACCTCTCCCCTGAGTTTGACATTGCTTGCAAATCTGCATGATTAAAGCATTGATTAGAATGATTTCTTGATATGAAGACTGTGTAATAGATGCTAAGTATTAATACCTGCTGAAGTTTTAAGAATATTTGCTAGAATCATAGAATCACAGAATGGTTTGGGTTGGAAGGGACCTTAAAGTCAATCTAGTTCCAACCCCCCTGCCATGGGCAGGGACATACTCCACTAGACCAGACTGCTCAAAGCCCTGTCCAGCCTGGCCTTGAATGCTGCCAGGGAGGGGACAGCCACGTCTCACCACCCTCACAGTAAAGAACTGCTTCTTCTTTACATCTAATCTAAATCTATCCTCTTCAATTTAAAACCATTACCCCTCATCCTATCACTACACTCTCTGATAAAGAGTCCCTCCCCATCTTTCCTGTAGCACCCTTCAAGTACTGGAAAGCTGCTATAAGGTCTCCCCAGAGCCTTCTCCAGGCTGAACAACCCCAACTCTCTCAGCCTGTCCTCACAGGGGAGGTGCTCCAGCTCCTTGATCATCTTTTGTGGCCTCCTCTGGACCCTCTTGAGCAGGTCCATGTCCTTCTTATGTTGGGGGCCCCAGAGCTGAACACAGCACTCCAGGTGGGGTCTCACGAGAGCAGAGTAGAGGGGGAGAATCACCTCCCTGTACCTGCTGGCCACACTCCTCTTGATGCAGCCCAGGGTACAGTTGGCTTGCTGGGCTGCAAGTGTGCATTGCTGGCTCATAGTCAGTTTTCCATCCACTACTACCCCCAAGTCCTTCTCCATAGGGCTGTTCTCAATCCACACATCTCCCAGACTGTTTTTGTGCTTGGGATTGCCCTGACCCACGTGCAGGACCTTGCACTTGACCTTCCTGAACTTCATGAGGTTTGCACGGGCCCACCTCTCCAGCCTGTCCAGGTCCCTCTGGATGGCACATCCCTTCCCTCCAGCATGTTGACTGCACCACACAGCTTGGTGTCATCAGTGAACTTGCTGAGGGTGCACTCAATCCTACTGTCCATGTCACCAACAAAGATGTTAAACAGTGCTGGTCCCAACAACGACCCCTGAGGAACACCACTCCTCACTGATCTCCGCTTGGTCACCGAGCCGTTGACCACAACTATTTGAGTGTGACCATCCAGACAATTCCTTATCCACTGAGTTGTCCATCCATCAAATCCAGGTCTCTCCAATTTAGAGGCCCAAGATGTTGTGCAGGACAGTGTCAAAAACTTTGCACAAGTCCAGGTAGATGATGTCAGCTGCTCTTGCCTTATCCATCAGTGCTGTAACCCTGTCATTTGCGGCCACCAAATTCATCAGGACAATTTGCCGTTAGTGAAGCCATGTTGGCTTCACCAGTCATCTCCCTATTTTTCATGTGCCCTAGCATAGTTTACAGGATGATCTGCTCCATGATCTTACTGAGCACAGAGGTGAGACTGACTGGTCTAAGTTCCCCAGGTCTTAATTTCCCTTTTTAAGACTGGAAATTTATCTTTCATTAGCTGAAGTATCCTATTGACCTGTTAATGCTTCAATTTCTGTTATAAGAGGTTTCCATTAAGTTTCAAACAAAATCTTTTATGTGAAATGTGCCACTGTTTTGGTGTACAAGAACTTTAAAGATAATGCGTATATCCTGTTTTGTTTGACTACAGCATGTCTTGTTCAGGACATGTTTGGTAACTACAATCCCTTATCTATCTCAAGGTGTTTAAAATAGGCTCTTTCTTCAAAATGGCAAATTTAAAGAACTGAAATTGGTACAACGTGCATACCTGGATGATTTTGTGGGCACAGCTTTGGGTGGGCTTGTGAAAAGAGTAACGACTGAACAGCTGTCATCTGTGCAAACACTGCCATTTCTTTTAGTGCAGAATAGTTTATATTTATTGGACCTATGAAGTTTTGCAAAGGCACCTTTGTAGCAACATCAGATAAGGTGCATTTTGTAATGTAAAACATTTAAAGCATCAAAATGGCACATGCAAATGGGAAAGTTTTGTCACAGAAGGATCTTGTTATTCTAAGAACATTTAAGTTAAAAAGGCAACAAAGCACTATAATGAAAATTTTAGTATTAAAATAAATACATTTTCATACATTGAAAAAAGTTTCTGACTGGATAAGTTCACTATACAGGATATAGTTTTCTATCCAAAATAGTGGGTTTGCCTTCCCTGAAATTTAACAGTTCTTTCCCAATCACAGGAAATACAGTGTCCCATTGATGAATAAACCCAGTTTTCTGCTTTCTCCTGGGGCAACAGTTTAAAAAAAAAAAAAAAAAAAGAGAGAGAGAGATTATATTGTGACATGATGCAACCATGTTTGTTTTCACTGATGATTTTTCTAACTAGTGACACTGGTTGTAAACTTCTAGATTCAGTGTGGTGCTCTTCTCCCTTTATCTTTCTTGATCACATCCTCATTTAAGTGCTGCAAAGAAACAGTGAATAAGTAGGTTAGTGGTTTAATTATTCATGAATGTGATTCAGCATAAAAATAGGAAGATTAAGTACAGTTAACAAAAATAGGAAGATTAAGTACAGTTAAATACATCTTCACAGATTGTCTCTGTATTTCTGAAAATTATTTAATAGCTTATCACAAAAAAGGCATCAGAACGAATAGATGCCTAATTTAAATAATTTAAATATACAGACATTCCTGTCTTTCACTGGGTAAGCAGTCTCTAAGGGACAAAAATAATTGATGTCTCTCGGTCTGCATCAGGAAAGCATGCAACAGGAAGAAAACACTCGCACCCACAGAACACGGAAGCAATGCTGTCACATAAATATTAAGAACACCAAGGCATCCATTGGGGAGGAGGGGGTGGCATTTGCAGGAGTCAGCAATATGAAATCTATCACGCAATCCTGAACTGTACCGTGATTTTTGTATTACAGTGTTTGACAATAATACCGAAGTTATCCTTGTTCCTTCCATCCCCCATCCTACTGCTGCAGGAGCAAACCACTGCTGTGTTCAGGGTGAATGTATTTAAGAGGTGTGCTCTGAGACACATCGGGAAGCTGAACACCTTTAAAAGCAGATGTACATAAATTCATACCAGCGGGAATCCTCAGTCAGCTAGGTTAGCATACTTGAGGGACTGGAATGGTGGGCAGAGTGCTTTAGTCACACACACATTTTATTACAAATGTACAGCCTCAGTTTACAGGTTTGGGATTAGTTTGTACTACCCCTTGTATATGGCACTCAGCTGGAACAGAAGCAGCAAGCTACAGGTTTCTTTTGAAAAAATAGTAGCTTGCTTTGGCTTTTGGCAAAAGGAAATCTGAGGTAATTTTTTTTTTTTTTTAAATCTAAGTATACTTTAAAATCCAAGTAAATGCAGGTATGATAAATATGTAAACATTATTTTCATGCTAGGTGCTGCCCACAGTTCAAACCCATAATGGAAACATACAAAATACAGTAAAACTTAATTACGTTACTTTACTCTCTTCATTGGTGTTTTCTATCCCAGCCTCTGTCATTAGGTCAGCAACGTGCTTCTCAAGGTCATCAATGCGCTTGCCCATTTCTTCCAGTAAAAAGTTAAAGATAACTTATTTATAATTAATTCTGGGATTTTATAGGGTTTTTTCTTCTGCGAGAAAAACAAGCAGCTTTCTTACAGATGTCTCAGCCTCTTACTCATGTTAAATGCAAGATGAAGCATGCACAAGGTTGTATTATTACAAGACAATCCCACTTTCTCTTGCAACAGATAAGCATTCAGGTTCTTAATATTTTCATATGCCTTCCTGTATGCCCAAGAGTGAACTGGAGTATTTTCTATGTAAGAGATAGTTCCTCAGAAAGAAAACAATTGTAGGTGATACCATACAGTTAACCTACACAATCAGAATAGGAGTGTTGCTAAAACATTATTCTTCTCTTACAATAAAGCAGCCACTTCCTGAAAGGTCAAGTTTCAGAAAAATTAAAAAATGTAATAAATCCATAAGTACATCTAATGAGAAAGTTCAGCCCCTTCAGGTCTTAATTTCTCTTTTTGAGGGCTCACCTTCCCACACTCTAGAGGCCAGCAGCTGTTTTTAAACCAACAACATGCAGCGACACACTGACATCAGTGGCATTTTTGAAGATATTTTTTTTTTTAACGTACCTTCAGAATTTTTCTACATAATTTGATGCTTATTTTACTTGAAAGCAAGAATTGTCACACAGAGACTAGATCAGCGGGAGTTGATAGTACTTCTAGTCAAACCTTTTTTAGGATTTCCTTCTTAGCTTAAGGGAGAATAAATGGGCGGGGGGGGGG